ATGTACAGCAGAGCGATACCCACTTACCCGCTTTTTTAATTTTTACAATATAATTTACAATCTATTAGTAATTAGAACAATAATTAAAATAGTCGGAAAAGTTTATGACTTGAATAAAAACGGATTAAAGAAGACTTATTCCATTAAAGGTATACTTTGTCGATTATCTACTCGTGCACATATGCATTTACAATKACATTATATTAGATTTGTATTTGCCAGATTAGTATGGGTCCCGCCACCACCGCCGTTTTAACCTTTTTCTGGGGTTGCCTGATGGTATACTTTCTGACGCAAGTCCTTTGATTAAGGGATTGATGTGTAGTTTTGGACATTTATGTCGAATYGCTTGTAAAATGTTTTAGCTACATCGTGAACGGGCAGCGAGATGGTAAAATCTTTATGTAAGGTCAGCTGGTTGGATAGAGAGAATGGCGCTTTTGTTATAGCACGGAAGGTTTTGGATTGAAAGTACTAAATACGGTTTATGTTTGAGACTTTTGCAGAACCCYATAATTGGATACCGTACTTCCACTTTAAGATAAATTTTTTATATTGAACGACAGAATAAATCGAAAGAATCTAACAGAAACCAGTAAACCACCCATGATGTTGAATTGTTGATAATAGTCGATTGAAGCAAATCATTCTGCTCAAAAACGTGCCCAAAACATAAAACTCGCAATATAATTGTTAACAAATATGAATCGCCCACTCCGCTCTGGATCTGAAATAAATTGTGAAAACTTGTTTGTCGTCGCTTTAAAAGTTTATTTATTATCACATTAAAACTTGAATCAAAACGTCAAGTACGGGTATCCGTTTTCCATTATATCATGTTAATAATGACAAATAAATATATAGGTACAACAAATAAATATGTGTTTAAAAAATTTAAAAACAAACATTTATTTTAGGTATAATATGATGTATAAGAGTAATAATATAGGAGGTGTGTGGTGCAGTCAAACTACGAAAAAAAAATTAAATAAATAGAAAACCTAAGCTATAACCGATCGCGGTACGCAGTCAGTCGTGCCTGTGATTCGTCGTAATAGTATACAGAGTTACGAGATCACGGACAAGTATCGCATTTCCGGTGGTCGGCGAGGCGGCAAACGGTAGGTACAGTAAAAAAAACGCTACGAGTAAAAATGAGCGAAAAAAAATAACGAATATAAAATATATAATATGGATGCGGATACCACCGACGAGATTACATCTGGTATTCGTCGCCCGCAGTGATCAACTGAAGTCCAGCGAAGTCTTCGCCCTGCCGCGCTTCCGGCGGAACTGGTGGACGGGGCTGTCGTCGCTACTGTCCGTACTTCGCGGCGACAATAYTATGCGCTTCCGCTTCCGTGACGGCCGTTCGTCCGACGTCCGATGCTCGCTCGTGTTGGTCGTCGACAACGTGCTGTTCAGGTCCGACGCGTCTTCCACACAAAACGAATCCTGTATAGACCGAGATAACGGATATTGATTAACACGATTACATTGAGTTAAAATAATAACAGGTCTCATAAACCAACGCTGAACATAATGATAATAATACGTATTTTAATGGATATAATGGCTAACGGCGGTCCATTAAACGCCACGATTTATATAGCGACCAATTAATCTTGATCATTTATCATACACATTGATATTATTTTATGTCAATTAAACTAATCAATATTCATGTGTAAGTATGAAACTATAATTTACACTCAATTACTACGTTCATATGATGGCGTTAATACGGTTTGAAATTAAATCGGTTTTAAATTCTGAAACTACATAGTGCGACCGTTTTGACTATTAAATCAAACGGTTTACATTTTAGATTTTGAGCGAAGCGATGAATGCATTGATTTTACACTGCTTTGTTATTTTTTTGTGTCAGTTTACATGATAAGTTGTCGAAATAATGGTTCGATTTTAAACTTCAGTATCTTTTCYGGTTGGAAAGTGAATCTATTTGCTGCGTTGAGGCGGTCAAATTTTGAAATTCCAAGTAGTTTTCAAAAGCACAGGGGAAAACAAAAAAAAATTCTGAAACGAAAGTAGACACATTGAAATTTTCACTGAATTTTTATATTGGCATTTTCTATACTTGATAAATTTTTTTAAATATTTCAAATTTTTTAATGTTATTTAAAATATGTCAAATTTTCAATCTTTTTAGTCTTTTTATTTTAGTCTAATATTAATTAACGCTTCAGAGATTAAATAAGTGTTTTGCTTTACATCGAAAACAACAATTAAATGCGATATTTTTTAATACAGAAAAATAAATCTTTTTATACAAATAAAACAAAATGGTTTTAAGTAAGTATAGGTAATCCGAATATTTTGACATGGTTTTATG